TCGGGCAGCGCGCTCTCAGGGGTGAGTCATTCCGCTCGTGGCCAGTGGCACATGAGCGCTGCGACTGGCATAGCTTCGGTGTTTCCCTCGGACAGACGGTGCAGGGCTGTATAATCAGGGAACGTCATCCCTCTTCAGAGACTGTGGGAACGTAGAGGAGGCTTGCATAACTCAAAAGCTCTATTATTTTGAGTCTTAACCTTAATTGTAACTAATGTCGCTACCTCTGATGCTCAGCGCAGAAAGTTTAATGCGTTATTTATCCATAGATTTGTGGTAGCCCCTTGAGTGGATCTCAAATAACTGAGACCTGGTTTTCAGTCAGTGCTCCTGGGCTTGTTCTGGTTACACTGGGGCATAAGAAAGTTAATAGCTGGTCCAGCACTTTTGTAAATATCAAGGGTATCATTGAACATTGACTTGGTTAACCTAATGATTTTTTTTTCCCAAACCATTGGTATGTATGAGTTGATTTAAAAAAAAAAAAAAGCAGAGGCTTCTTAAATATAGTCTGTTCTGAAATAAAGGGTGTGGTGTTGGCTTTGAATGAGCTTGATGCAGCAACAAGCATGCAGCAGTTGGTAAATAAAGATGGATTTTCTTTTGTTCTGCTGGTGCTTGCTGCTCATTATTCTCCACTTACCCCGTGAGCTTCCCAGGGAGTGGCAGCTGTTTCTGATGTTAGACACTCTATCAGTGGTAGACAGCTCCAGATTCGGTGAGATACTGTCGTGGGGAGGAGAGGAAAATAACCTAGCCCTGCATTATTGTAAATCCTCAGTGGAATTAACTTTTCATGAACCAAAAGAGTTTTGTGCTTAACTTTTTCTGGAATATTCAGGTGTAAGTGTGCTTTGCAGTACATGTTACTGTGCAACAGCTTTTCTGTTGTGAGATGGATTTACATTCTAAGTGTGTGTTAAGTATTTTAATGTGCAGTGTGTGGGGGCAGACACAAGGCAATAAAGGGAAATCGGTCTATAACAATCTTCATGTGTATTTCCAGATTACATATACAGTTTGGGAATCTCTGCAATTTGGAAATTGCTTGGAGTAAACAGAGTGGTACATAAAGATTTTAAATAATAAAGCTAGCAAGCTACAGAGGAGTCTGTTTGGTTCCAGGATTTTATATGTAGGATTTATAACCCATGCTTTTGCTTTCCTGTCTCTGCAGTGTTAGCATTCTGTTACTGAAAACAAAGGCGGCTCTGCCAGGGCATTACACAAGCAATGAATCACAGAGGAAAAAATGTTTTGCTTTGTAAATTGTTCACTTTTCCATGGTGGATCCTTTTTTTTTTTTTTTTTTTTTTTTTTGGTTTTTTGTTTCCTTTTTCATGGGTGTGTCTTTTTTTTTTTTTTTTTTTTTTTAGCGTTGTCTGATAGAATTTGCCACACATGCTTGCATTTACTGTCCTCGATACAGTTCTTCTAGTGTGACTACGTAACTATTAGTATTAGCGGCTTCAAGTAACTTCGTGCATATGATTCTTAAAACCAAAGCCACAACAGGAATAAAAAACACAGGGCAAAAATTGAAACCGCTCAGTTCACTCTTCAGGCATGACAGCTTACTGAGCATATCGGAGGAGGGAAAAGGTGTTAATGTTTTTCAGTCAGCTTTGTCCCAGTGGTTCCATGTAATTATTTTTGTCTGTATTGACAAACTCTTTTCTGCCTAAAATAACTCAGATTTGCTGTCATGGTAATGTGGTCCTCCTCAGAGGCTGTAGGAAGTGTTTCAATCATAAGAACATAAGTGTGTTTCTTAACAGTACACACTTTGTACATTTTCTTGATGACTATGTCGATGAATCTGTGTTTCAGAACTTCTGTAGACGAGCCATAGTTTACTCAGGCTTGCATGTGAAGTTATACTTAAGATTTCTCACTGGGAGGTCACACACCAGACAGTGTCTTCTTGGCTTGCTGCAAGATGCAGAAGTGTAACTTCAGCATGTTATATAGTAAAATTTGTACCACGGATGCTGCAGCGTGCCTCCTATTATCCTTGTCATGAGCAATAACCAACAATGTGTATGCTTGCCATATTACAGGTCTTGTTAAGCTTCAGGTGGAAAAAGAAGTTTAAAACCGTGTTACTTATTTGCAAATTTAAAAAGGTGAATCAGGAACCAGAACCAACTATAGTAATGAGTAAGGGAAGGCCTAAGTAGAATGGTCCTTACAAAATACCTGGCAGAAATTAAATCCTTGATTTTTCACATGGAACGAGTGAAGAAGTGTGGAGGAGGATGCTATATATGTATGGAATGCACCATTTTAAAGACTATGGTAGTAATCCTGTTAGGGGATGTGTTTCTAACGGAGAAACAGACTGGTGGAATAAAGCTGTGAAAAAGTATGAGAGCCAAACATAAGCATCTAATTTGTGAGGAAGAATCTTTTGTGACAGTAGTGCAATTTTGTGTAAAATAATGCATATTAATTGAAAATAATCAGATAATTTTGGAATCTGGAAAAAGTCTCCTCTGTAAATACTAGTGGAGAAGACGTGTAGCATAGATTTGGGAACAATGGAAACCCTGTCTTGCCCATCTTCAGATATTTTTTTTTCATCCTATCCTATCCTAAATGCAGGTATGATAAGGGTTCTGTGATGGTTCCTAGGTCTCCTGGGTCTGCTTTGTGCAAGAGAAGAAAATACCAATGAGTCAGGTATGTAACACTGCATCCAAAACCGTGATAGTCTGAGCAGCCACCTTCCCGACCTGCTCACCTGGCAGACCTCTCCTCAGGAGGTAGGCTGAACGTGCCATATCTCTTGTCCTCATAGTCACATCTGTGGTGTAATAGTAATGAGATTGAGGTAATCTCACTGATCTGGGCTGACTTGGACTGATATTTTAAATGTGAAAGGCTTCATAATCTCCTACGCTTCCCAGAAAGTTTTCAGCTTTTAATTAAGGTCAGAATTAAAAGATGATCACAACAAAACCTTCTACATTTACCGCCTTGCTTGTAAATGTTAAGCCATGACAGCTATAGGCAAGTTCTGAAATTCCTAAAGCAGTGATGACATTTTTGTAAACCCCTTCTAGGTTAATGTAACACTTAGGGCTTCAACAGACATCTCTCAAAGAAAGACTGAGCATCTTTGTGCTCATTCCTTTTCTTCTCATCTTTCTTGTCCCATTCCCTGTGTGCTCAGTGCAAATGGATCTTTTCTGCAGACATGGCCACTATTGGAAAGGTAGTTCTGTGTGTGACTCTCTCTCCTGGTTCACTCCCTTGTATTTTTTTTTGCTTTAGATATAGAAAATTAAAAGCCTAACGAAGACTGAACAGGTGAAAGCAGCAACTAGGGATGCATGTGCCCATGGCTGTGTGGTGTGGGTTTTGGGGCTGCTTGTGCTTCTGTGTGCAGGAGAGTATGAGTATGAACAGAGAAGAAATGGCCCAGCTGGTGCCTAGAGCAGGTTGAAGCAGCACTGCAGAAGGAGAGGAGGTCTGTGGGGAGAGGAAGGAGGCAAAGCAGCTGTAGGGGAGTTCCAGGGGCAGGGTGTACATTGCTGCAAGAGAAATCACCAGTGGAGAGCCGAGCAACAGGAAAGAGGGTGTGAGCAGAGCCTAGGAGAACAGGAGAGCATCAGAAGGTGGTTGGAGCCAGTATATTTGGGGAGCCTTACCTTCTCACTGCTCTCAGTGGTTGTTTGAAGAGCTCGCCAGCAGGTGAGACCCTGGGCACTGGGTGCCAGGAGCAGCGTTGCGGGGTGTGCAGCGTGCTCCTGCTGTGGCAGGCTGGAGAGGAGCTTGGCTCCCTTGTCCTCGGCCTGATGTTGAACAAAAAAAGTGAGATACCATAAAGGAGGGATGAGGATGTAGCTGCTGCCCAGCAGCGGGTGCTCTGTAGTGACTGACTTTTTATATTTTTTTAAATGAGTTATTGTTGGGGTGAGCAGAGTTGGAAGTGTGACTGGTAGCCTGATTTGAATAGCACCTTGAGTGAGGCTTTTGTGAGTCAGCCAAATAGAAACATGGCTGTAGGACCTTGCAGGACCTAGAGCGCCAGCTTGACACCTTGTAGAGCTCTTTGAGGTTCTGGAGACACTGCCTGAGGAGATGACAGCATGGACAAGGAGCAAAAGGGAAAAAACTGAGGCACATTGACAAAGTCACACAAAAGAGCTGTAGGTAGAACCCCTGTCTTCGTTCCCTGAAGGCCAACTGAGTAAATCCAATACATAACTGAGGTTTTGATGAACTCTTTTCTTTTTATTCTACTGTTGGACACTTTGGACATGTCTGTAACAGCTGCGCAACTGTCGGCTGTGCAGGTTACTCAGATGAACACTAGCATGGTGTGAGCAAGGGATGTTTTCTCTGACCAAGAAAGGTGTAGTATCTTTCAGAATAGATGTTTGTTTTCTTCTGTGGTGGCTATACATCATCCAGTATTTTTCCTTTCATATTGTGATATATCATCTCATGTTTCATGCTTGAGATGTTGTGAGAAGAGTGAGTGATGTTATGTAACTTAAGCAGAGAATTATCTTTTTATGTTCTAAAAGTGACTGTTGGTTTGATAAAGCAGTTGACTAATTAGTAAATTACCCATTGTTGTTTAAAATACTTGCACTGCAAAATGTAAATGAAAAAAATTTCTCCACTTGTCAGTATGAAAAATGACAATAGCAAAAATAATACATAGGACATCTGCTCTGATTTTTTTTTTTTAAATTTAAAATGCATTTCAGGCAGATGTTGCAGAATTTGAATGGAAATCGGAGTACATGGAAGAACAAAACATGGCTGTTTACCTTATTCGAAGTCACATTTTTATGGTTAACATCACTAGCAGTATCTGACTCTGTGCCTGTGTTTTTCCACTGTTTGTATCAGAAAGGAACTGAGTGTTCTTAAAACTGCTGCTATGTCAGGATGGCACAGAGTTTCAATGTTAAAAAAAATAATTATAGGCAAGTCAGTATTTGGGGTGTTCTCTGATGTTCTCTCCCTTTGCCCATCCTTTCCAGGAGAATACATAAAGACATGGAGGCCGAGGTATTTTCTTCTGAAGAACGATGGCACGTTCATCGGCTACAAGGAGCGACCGCAGGATGTTGACCAGAGGGAATCACCTTTAAATAACTTTTCAGTAGCTCGTAAGTGTTTTTACCTGATTCCTTGTCCAGTTTAGAGCTTGATGCCATCCTTTATTCATAGTGCTAGTGATGTACCTAAACACTGTGTTTCTCTGAGATGATAAAACCTGCCTGTGTTTCTCAGGAGTGACTGCAATGTGAAGGTTTGATGCTCTGCCTTTTTTTTTTAGTTTTCTACTAGTTTACTGTTTGTGGTTATAGATTAAAATAGGTTTATTTGTTAATATTTTGTATGTTAGTTACTTAGCAAGTTGCTTTAAAGTGAAAGTTAACCCAGGCATGTGTCTTGGTGCTTTGCAGGTAGGCACAGCCAGAGTGTTTTGGCCTCTGTTCTGCCACCAGATCTGGATTGAAGTGGCACTGATGTAGGTCAAAGTTACTCCATTGTTAGCGTAAGGGAATGCAGAGTGAGCACTGGCTTTAATGAAACACACTCAGTTCTTCTTGATTTTGAACACAAAACAATTTTTATTCCATTAGAGCCAACAAAAGGATTTGGAAATAATAACATCTCCTAACCTATGCACTCTGTCCTGTGCAAACATTTCCGACTTTGCTCAGGTGCGGCAGCACAGGATGTGATAGAAGACTCTGAAGATAATTTCCTTCTCTTGCTCATGTTTTTAACCTTTCACTGTATACTTCCAGCTTTTATTTTGTCCTGTTCTTAATCTTTCCTGTCTCATGATCTGCCTGTGTCTTGTTCCACCACTTAAAAATAGATCATTGTGGCACCTGTTATTAACAATGATCTGTTCTGTGTTCCTGGTGACTTGTGGAAGTGAAGCTCTGCAGAGAGAAGGGTAGAAGCTTTCCCTCTTCATTACAGGGTAGTTTGCTTTATAAGGGGTTCACCTCGGTAGCTGACCTTTAAGCAGGCAGATTTATTTTGGAACACCTAGGGCCCAGAAGAGGGCTGGACAGCACTAGGAATTAATGCAAATGTTCAGTCTTTTTCTGAAGGTAGCAACATATACCTGTTCTGACTGTTGATGGCAGTGAATAATGGACACCAGTGCTGTTGCCTGGAGCCATTGTGCAGGATGCTAAGAGTGCTTTGGGATTTTTTTTTTTTTGTCTTGTTTTAGAGAAAGAACTGTTGTAGTATCTTCATTTCTGCAGTGATACGGTACTTTCCTCTTTAGATTAGTATCTCTTTTTGGTTCAAGAAGGTAAAGAAAAGCAGCAGAAAGCCTTCAGTTCTTAAATTAATTCAATACTTGGTCTGCAGCCAGAGGCTTTTAAGAAATTCACTTTTTACAGGACAGTTCCATCCTGCTGCTGCTAACCGCAGTACTTATGGTAATTATTTTCTGCAGATCAGTGCTAAAGAATAAAAAAAGATGTGTCCACTGCCTTCTCTTTGTCCAAGTTGCTTTCAAAATGGGTTAACTTAAACCAGTTTTCACAAGAGGAATATAGTGCACGTTTTTGGACAGATTGATCCCATCAGTCTTGGCATCTAAAGATAAACAAGTTTGTTACCATGGTTTTGGAGCACTGACGAAAAAGATGCGACACGCGCCAATGAAGTAAGGTGTAGGCCCTGTCAGAGGGATTGCAGGGAGGGTGGTTGGTGGAAGGATGTTCCTGGCAGTGGCATTTGCCTGGTGAACCAGTGGCAGGTTGGGAAGCCCTTGATGATTAGGGGAGGACCTCCTTGCTAGAAGTGGTTATGTGGTTTTGGACTCACAGAAGCAGCTGTTGCCTCACCAGGAGTTAATTTCTCATGTAGGCACTCGCCTGCAGTGCTGCCAGCACCTGATGGGTGCTTCCCTTCTGGGTACCCTGCACACTTGTAGCATTCCACTGTATTTTGCACCACAGGCTTTCCCTTGGAACCTGCTTGCCTGGTACTTCCATTTGGGTTAACTCATTGGGTTAGCATGAGTGAACTCTGCAGGAAGCCCAGGCCAGAACACAGTCTTGTGCTGCAGAGGCAGCCTGTAGAAGCCTCCTGCCAGTGAGGTGGGGGGACCTTAGCTTGAATGTTCTGTAAAAGTTCATCGTTTCTTTGTTTTTTTTACTTTGTTTTCTTTCAAGAGACCATGATAGCCCTGACTTTTTAACTGGTGAACTAGATATTTTTAGTGAGGTGGCAGGCTGTCTCAGTCTGTTCTTTGGAAGTGGTTCCATGTTTCTGATAAAATCTTTACACTCTTCTGCTGTAAAATAATGTAGACTTTTTTAGCTTTGTGAGTAAAAGTGTTATTTTTTTCAGGACTAGTGGACCTTTCTTGCTTGTAGTGTAAAGTTAATGTTAAGTGATTTTGTCAGCCCATGAGAAGTAGGGAATATTCAATTCAGGAGAAAACATTGAAAGAAGATAACATCTAATGATTATATGTCTTTTCCCGTAGCAGGTATGAAGAAGGTATTAGCAATAAATACAGTGTGCTTTCCATGTGCTTAATAGTCTCTCCTTGCTCCTACACTAGCCTTTTCCTTTCGGTCTGTGAGGATTTTAGTCATACATCTTTGAAAACTTGTTTCTAGAGCCCCCCCATGGGTAAAGAGAGGCTCACTTTTTTTTAATGACCCTTTTCTCCACCTAATTTTCCTTTTAAAATCGCCATATATCTGTAGTTTAATGATAGGTTTAAGGAGTATATTTTCCCTGGATGTTACCTATTAGTGATTTTTTAAAAACAAACAAACAAAAAACCCAAACAAAACACACACACATAAAAAAAAAAAAAACAACTGAAAACACCACCAGCAAAGCTTCTGAAAGATGGTGCATGAGCATTTAACTATGATTTTTTGAGTCTTATTTGTGCTTGTGTTCTGTACTTTGCCACTAAACAACAGGTAGAAGGAAGGAAAAAGCCTCTACCTAAATAGTTCTGCTCCAGAGACCCCGCAGATAAATAACCAAGAGCCTGTGCTGTAAATCTGCGCAATAAGTAGCCTTCATACCAATTGTAATCTGGGATTATCATGCATGTCTGCCTATTATGTTATAAGCCTTTAAAACCATATAGCTGAGAAGAGCAGTATATTGTGAAAAACCACGTGGAGAGAGAGGCTGTTCCTGTCAGGACTAAGGGATTATTTCTCCGACTGTCAAAAAGGAGGGTGAGCTGTGGTGGGTTTGTTGTACAGCCAAAAACGTAACTGCTCAACAGTACGAGTGCTCCTTTTGGGACAGGACTGCGTGTCTGCAGTCAAGCATTTATCAGAGGACACAAGACGGCCACATTAGTAAACAGTTTTTTTTGTTTTTGTTTTTTTTTGTTTTTTTTTTGGTTTTTTTTTTTTTGTCTGCTGTTACTAGGGGCCACCTTATTCCAGGTTGGTAACTCAGGGCTCTCAGCTCCTCGCTTTTGCCATGCTCAGCTTTTTTGGGGCAAATCCATCCAGTGGTGCTAGCAGACAAGGAGCACTTCAACATAATATTTCTCTTTGCCTTTCCAAAGTTTTGTTTATTTCATCATTCCACTTGCCTGGTTTACCTTTTTTTTTTTTTTCCCCTCCCTCCCATGTTTTTCCCTAAAGAAGCCAAAGCAGAAATGGGAAGGATTCTGCCTTGACATTATTGTTTTAAGTGTGATGTCATTATATAGGGAGCAGAGTTTGACACTTCATCGCAAGTAATCTGCCTTTTAGCTTAAGTGCTGGGGAAGCAAATATTGTGACATTTTAGAAAGTCACTGGGATAATACTAAGTGTCTTTCAAATACAAAATGGTAATTTACATTTGAATGCCTTGGTGTCTATTCCTGTTAGTAACAATTTCTCTGTCCTACTTACTTTAAAAGACCAAATGCCAGGAAAGAATCAAGAGGTTCTTTAGAGCAATTTAAATCATTTTTAACAGGCTGCTGTTTGAAGTACTTTGTTGCAAATGGGAAATACTCTGTTGGCCTGTTTGACAGGAAGGACTGTATTCAAAGTGGCTAAGAGACACTCAGCCCAAGTTTGGGATGTGAATGTTTCTAATAGCAGAACCCCCAAACATGCTGCGAGTCAGACACAGCGTCTGTATCTGTGCTCTGCTGTAGTGGTCCATGTTGCAGTACATGATCATAGAAGTCAAGTTTGGTGCTTCCCTGGCTTGCCAACTACAGTAAAGAGCAGAGTTGGTTTTGAAAGTAAGACAAAACCTATTGCTTGATTGTGTTGTTGATAAAATCCATGCATTTGTCATATATGGGAAGAACGAAGCGGTAGCTTTGAACTTTCTGAAACCTATGTGGTACAGCACTTTGCTAAAGCAATTTAACAATAAAGCCTTCTATATTTCTTGATATGTGCTGTTATGATTGAGCAGGGTAATTAGACAGCATATTGTTCACTAAACAAAACACTTCTATGTGACATACTTGAATTATAGTGGTTATTAACTGACAAATCTGTATTATTCATCTTGCTGTATGCCTTAAAGATTGCTGGATCAGCAAGCTTAACAAGTATCAATGGACAGTGCTGATTTAGGGGAAAAGTGTTGATGTTTAATTGGTCCTCTTCTATGACAGAAAATGCCTTTGAAGTTTATTATGCTGAAATTAAATGGTTAAAGTTTAGAGTTCATGGCTAGTTTAAATATCTGTGCTGGTACTTCAGAATACTTAATCTGAAGCATTTAAGCATGAATCTAAAAGGTAATTTGAAAAAGGTAAGCGAAACCTCTCAGTTTATTTTGTCATAATGTTGCACTTCTGAGTAAGTATAGGAGAAGAGCTCTGGGTTGGCTCGAGGTTAGAAATAGCCTTATTTTTCTTCTCCAGGCAGCCAAGGTCCATATCTGTTGGGGCTGCTTTGTGCAGGCCCATAGGGGACAACCCCAGCCTTAATCTACTCAGGTTAAGTAGACAAAAGCGAGACAAAGAACAAACAACAAAAAAAAAGAAGAGCAGTTAAGGTGGGTGAACCTGGACTAGGACTGAGATCTTTGGAGACAGTTTATCAGAACCAGGCTTACTGGGCTGGTGCAGTTGTGTTTGGCTTTCATTGCCATTCTGTGGAAGAGGATGGAGGTAGCTGGAAGGTGAAGTTTGGTGCTCTGCAAGCACGGCTGCCTGGCTGGGTGGAAGTTCTTCTCTCTCAGGGACTGAAGGAGTGCCATTTATCACACTAAAACCTTTTCATGACTCATTAATAAACTTTCTCTTATATAATTGCTGTGCTTTAGTACGATGCAGTATAACCTCAGCATGCTGTTAAAGAAAAATTAGGTTTTCTTGTCATGAAAAATGCAAAGTTACTCATTGAAAAGCTTATATTTCCAGTAGCAAATGAGGCGTGAAATACATTGCCAAAAATATGGCACCCAAAAACACTGGTGGTAAATATTTTATCTTGGTGCTAATTAAGAGCTTGAATTTAAAACTGAGCATTCTAAATTTTCACAATAATAAAATTAACCTAATGGTACCAGTGTAGCCTTAGTAATGTGGACTGTTAGTCAGGACGGGTTCTGTCCTCAACTTGCTCATTGCTGATGGATGGTGGAGGATGTTCATAGCTCTAGCAGTAAGCAGAAATTTCTTCTTGTCTTCATAGTGTCTTCTTATTTACTTGAAAAGTGGTTTAGAACCTGAAGACCAAATAATAGCAAGCTTGTGGTTTTAACAACTGCAAAGAAGAGCCTAATGCAATGGGGGAAAAAAACCCAATTATCTCTCTTTTGTTTGTTTTTGTTTGGTGGTTTTTTTTTCCCTGCTCACTCAGTTTCTTAATTTGACTTCGCTTTAACAGGAGCTTTTTAATTAGCATTAGGTTTTCTATTAATACAAATCAGAAAAATGTGTTGGTTTGGCTTCTTTCACTTCATTGGTTTTCTTATGTTTTTTCACATCCTTTCTTAGTATAGGTAATGTACCCTTCATCAGGTGCATTTTTCAGGCCCAAGTTTGAAGGATAAACACACATTAGATCCTATGAAGCTTAAAATAGGTGTGATTTTAAAAGAAATATTAAAAATTAATGCTCAGCTCTTGAGAGAGCATTTTTATGAAGGAAGTGGTGTTTTTGCCTGTAGCCTCCCTTCGGTAGCTGTTTTGGGTTGTACTTAAATACTGTCAGTGCTGGGAGCTGTCAGGTGTGTCCCTGTACAGCATCCCACTCTGCAGCAGTGGTCTCAGGGTGTTTTGAATGGGGTCTTTTCTAGGGGTGCCTTTGCAGTTTGATGTTCCCTCTAGTGTTTGAGGACTGGAAATGCTGAGTCTAATCATCGAATCGCTGCAAAATGACCAAACCCATGCTCTAGCAACTCCTTGAAAGCCCAGGACAGGGGTTTAGGTCGGGAAAGTCAAAGGGAGGGAATACGGGGGCTTGGCTTTATTTCAGTGGATGTAATCGCTGCATTATCAGCTGACTTTGTCCGTGTGCTCTGCTCTGGGTGACCTTTGGATTGTAGGACCTGAATCTGAATGGCCTCTGTGTCTTCACATCACATTTCTACTTACCTCTATGAGCAGACCAAATGTGGAGCCTTTCTAAGCAGAATTTGATTTCAGTGCTGCTTAGATGACTATCTCCCAAGCTATTTATTGGTTTCATCTACACAGTAAATTGTCTCAAGTCTCTTGAAGAAGTACTTACAGAGATTTCTATGGCTGATTAATCGCAACAGTTTGCTAGATAAGAATAAAGACAAATGATTATTTAAACCTGCTTATGTACCATGACTCTTTCTTCCTTGATTGTGGTAGAGTGCCAGCTGATGAAGACAGAACGACCTAAACCAAACACATTTATCATTAGATGCCTCCAGTGGACCACAGTAATTGAAAGAACATTTCATGTGGAGACTCCAGAGGAGCGGTATGTTTCATTCATATTTAATACATAAACTACTTGCAAAAGCAGATGCGAGTGTTCAGCATTAATAGCGAGTCCTTACTGAAGCTCTTATTTATCAGATGATGTACGTCTAGACTGAAAAGCAAAAAATAATTTTGGAGTGCCACAGTTTTGGTGCATATTCCAGTATAAATGCATCTTAAAGGATGTTTCAGAGAGCTGATTTTGAGTAGCATTTGTAAATGAAGTGTTGCTACGTTAGGTATCCAAAACGAACGAGTGCAGGTGTGTACCAGCACAGAGGTAGTATGGAACATTGCTGGAAACTTAAGGTTCCTTTCTCCCTGGAAATGTTGTGGTATGTGAAATGAAGGGTTTCTGACCTGGGAGTTTCTGGATTGATGAGCAAAAGTGAAATAGAGATTCAGGCAGAGTTAATTTGTGTCAAAGTACTGACCTTTTAAAATCTTCTTAGACACCTTGTTTTTAAAGGAAAAAAGTTGTGTCATTGCTGATTACTAATGTTTTATGCAAATGAGATAATAAAAGTGATAGTTATCTGCTGCAGGTGCAGATTTCTGTTTCAGCTGTTAGGAAACAAAGCTAAGAGCATGCATCCTGTGCTCTCATCATTGGAGAATTGATCTCTTACCTCCTGAGAGAACAGTTTTCCAGCACAGCTATTGTACAAATACAGAGTATTTAAATATTTACTTGCTCTTCAGGAACTGAAACCATTCCAGTACCATTGCTCTAGGGAATATGATGGTATTTAAGAACCATTGTCCTCCCTATACATAATTCTGGCATGTATTTATTTTTAAGATCAGAAAACTCAACCTAATATTCTCTGCCTTTTTCATTTTGTAGCCTTTGAAAGCACTGATTTAAAGGAGATTCCTGTTTATTGCTTTTTATTCTATTATAATGATCAGAAGGTAAAATCAAATTAAAAACAAAGGAAAAGAAACTGGTCCTTATTTCTTTTGGTACCTTTGTGGTCAGTGACCCTAAAGGGAGTGAATAACAGTTTCCACTTGGAGGAAGATTGTGTTTCAGTCTTGTTTTGTTCCCTCCTAGCCAATTTAGTCAGCCTTGTGACACCTCAGGGCTCGGAATGTTAGTCACCTCTGTTCTGTACGCTTGAGACGTAAAAGCTGAGGGTGAAATTCTGGTCTTTCAAAAATCAAAGATACTCACTTCAGGAGGGCCAACATCTCAGCTTAGTTAGAAACAAACCTTAAAAGAGCTGTGAAGGTAGATATGCCTTCAGCTTTCTCTGTGCCTTTAAAACCAACATTTGTTTATCAAGAGATATGGAGAGAGAAAAATACAGAAGAAAAAGTTCTTGTAATCACTCTGAATATGAAAAGTGACTTGTAAATAAAGGGGTGTGTGATGGTGAACAAAGTGGTCTGTGCTGGGAGGATAGGGAGAACATTTAGACTGTTTAGCTTTAACTTGCTGCCCTAGACAGGGCCAGATGATGCACAATCAGGCAAAATCCAAACAAAAAAAATACAGAGGGTGGGGAGGACTTTGTGTAATTGGTGCAGTTTTTATTAGACTCTTACACCGAGTACTTTTTCCTGTGGACTTTGCTTCCTCTGGGGAATGATCTGCTTCCTCCATCTATCACAAACTGAAATCCACATGCTCAAATATGCCTTTTTTAAAAAAAATAATTTTGTAGAACCAGTGAAAAAAAAATGACCTACGTTAGCATGGCATGGCTTCACTGCAGGATGTGCATGCAGTTGCTCAGCATTGACTGCTTCTATGCCTGCTGTAGCAGTGAAGTATTTTACCTGGAGTGTCCTTGGGAGAAGAGTTTAGCTAGTGCCCAGGAGATATTAACTAAACCACTATGTCCCATTCCCCAGAGAGACAAGAGATAGTAAAACAGATAAATCCACATAGTCCACTGCGTGTGTCTTCAGCTCCTGTATGCATTAAAGCCCATCCCAAAACCGTGTAAGCCCTTACGAGTTGTATGCTTTATGTTCAATAAATTTTCAGTGAAGTGAAGGCCAAGAACTTTCACTTTGGTAGTTTCCAAAGGTGTGAGATCTCCCAAAGGACACTGGAGTGGAAATGGTCTCCATGGGAGTCCAAGGGGTCAGTGTTAGAACACCCAGTGCTGAAACAGCTGTGGGAACTTTATCATAAATAAGACCTGTGCCCAAGATAAAATGTCACTGCTTTTGCTGACATTCTGCTAAAATTTACACAGGAATTGCTGTACTTCTGTCATCATCTTTACAACAAGGAGTAACCTAAGTGTCCTGGGCTTTAACACCTTCCCCTAGAATGCCCCTTGGCATTAAAATCCAGGGTATGTGCACGAAGAGGTGGCGTGGTGCCCCCAGCAGTTGGATGTATGCGTTTCACTGCACCATAGGAATGGAGAAGCTGTCTTTAATGGCTTTGTGCTGCAAAGCCTTTTTGTGCTGCCTTTTGCTTTCTGTTTTAGGCAAGTCTGGTTTTGTTATGTAAATCTCTGCATCACCAGGTCATATCTTGAGCAGCTGATTGAAGGCCGATTAGAAATTCTGTTGTCTGAAGAGCCTTATATTGTATCCAGACTGGGAGGATGTCAGTTGTTTCTTGTTTGTAGTACGGTTAATAATGATGTACATTGGAAGTACTCTTAAAAATGCATTTTTACAATGCTTGAAAATGCAAATCATTGTATGTTGCATTGGTTCACTGGAGAGCATTAGATGCTCTGTATTCCTTGGTGATCCTTGCCACGGCAGACAGTAATCTCAAGTAACAAGTAACAAATGTCTTTGGTTATATTTTGCCAGGGAAGAATGGACAAAAGCCATCCAAACAGTAGCAGACAGCCTCAAGAAACAAGAGGAAGAGATGATGGATTTTAGGTCTGGCTCTCCCAGTGATAATTCAGGTGCTGAAGAAATGGAAGTTTCTATGACAAAGCCAAAACACAAAGTGGTAAGTGAGTGTAGCAGAAATAACAGTATTTTTTAGGTCTTCTTGAACGTAGATGAGAAACAGCCATCAAAACACATCTGTTCCCACAACAATTACATAGCTGGTTGTAGGTACAGCTTTGGGAGGAGACAATTGTCTGAGCTGAGCAGATACCAGGCAAAGCCTGTCTAAGTCCACCAGAGCTGAGTTCAGATGTCCTTACTGGATGGCTTTCAAGGCCAGCTCAGGTCTGCATTTAGTTGTTTTCCTGTGATACAGAGCCTGAAATCATAGCTCCTGGACAGTGTGACACTGTAAACTCCTTGCAGGCTGGTGCAAAGAAATCCAGTGGATTTGCAGGATTTAGGGTGGATCCAGGGGATTTAATTACTCTGGATAAAGGGTTTAGGCAAACTCCTAGAGAGCTGCTGTGGTATCTGTCCATAGTGTTTCTAGATCTTGGGTTTTTGCACCAGGTCATCTGAATGCCCAGGGCCACAATGGCCTTCCATGAAAGGAGGATGTGCCAGAGGAGATCTTTGCCCTGTGGAGCCCTTTTCAGTGTCTGTCTCCAGCCTTCATTAACTACTTTTTACCACCTTGTGGTCTTGTGTTTAGGTTTCCATTTTCCACAGTGTTCCCACCTGCTCTTATAAGAAAGAACTGAGAGAACCTTCTCCCATGTGAATGCTGTATCTGTGCATTGTACAAAAGCACTTCTTGTGTCCTTATCTCACCATTGTCATCCCAGTTTACACTCATAATTTTGTTTTCAGTTTTGGGAAAAACAATCAAGTTTTTAAAGAAAAAAAAAATTTCACCAGTGTCATCACGAAGTACGTGAGCCAGCCTTGTGTCATGTCAGTGGTTTCAGAGTGATGTGGGAGGCTTCTGTGTCCTTGTCTGAACAGAAACATTCTTCTGAGAGAGCTGGGGTTGTTCAGCCTGGAGAAGAGAAGGCTTTGGGCAGACCTTATAGCAGCCTTTCAGTACCTGAAGAGGGCCTACAGGAAAGATGGGAAGAGACTCTTCATCAGGGAGTGTAGTGATAGGATGAGGGGTAACAGTTTCGAATCGAAATAGGGTAGGTTTAGATGAAATATTAGAAATTCTTTACTGTTGAGGGTGGTGAGACACTGGTACAGGTTTCCCAGAGAACTTGTAGGTTCCCCATTCCTGGACGTGTTCAAGGCCAGGCTGGATGGGGCTTTGAGCAATCTAATGTAGTGGAAGGTGTCCTTGCCCATGGCAAGAGGATCGGAACTATAGATCTTTAAGGTCCTTCCAATCTAGCCCATTCTGTGATTCTGTGAAAAGGATTAAAATCTCACATACACAATATGTACAATGTATTCTCACATGAATTAGAAATTCTAGTCCGGCAATGATATTCTTGTTAAATCATATAATTCAGTTCTTGTTTATCTGTATCATTAACAGACCATGAATGAATTTGAATACCTTAAACTACTGGGAAAAGGCACTTTTGGAAAGGTCATTTTAGTTAAAGAAAAAGCAACCGGGCGGTATTATGCTATGAAAATTCTGAAGAAGGAAGTTATTGTAGCAAAGGTGAGTAGATGGGAAACTTGGGAACGTGGTTCACCCTTGATACAGCCTTCGGGGAAAGTCACACCAAGGCTTCTCTGAGTAGTTGTAAATGGCTGTTCTGTTAGTGGTTGAAATGGACCCCTGGTCTGGGGAGTCACCTTGCTGCTTTCCTTCTGCTTGTGTTTCAGGATGAAGTAGCACACACGCTGACAGAAAACCGCGTCCTGCAGAACTCGCGGCATCCGTTCCTGACAGTAAGAGCTTCTCCCTCTGCTCGGGGTCACTTGACATCATCCCAGCCAGGACTTTCCTTATTTTTCGTTATCTACGTAATACATCTGCGATCTGCGTTTGCAGAGTGGCTGTGTACTTTTGTACCCTTCCATTTTTGGGAAGCACAAATTAAAGTGCTTTAAGTCTTCTGGTTCTCGCAGAGCAGGTCCTCAGTACCTCTTGAAGACAGTGTTTCAGGGTGTGGTTTGACTTTATGGCTTGCCTATTTAATGGCCTGCTATCTCTGAGAGGAATATCTGCTTTCCTTGTCCTCCAAATGCTTGGTCTCCTCTTTGTAGCAGAGATCAGGGTGACCCTGATCTTGTGACAAACAAGTCCAGGAAGATACAGTGGGGAAAAACCCTTTAATTTTACTTTTCTTTGTTGTTTTTCTAAGCTCCCAGAAGCAGGTCACTATGCAATTGGAGCACTGCTAGTGCCAGCCAAAGGATAGTGGTGGGAGCATGTGGGATAGGATAGGGAAGAGCAGGACCATGCTTTATCCACTGCTTTCCTTATGGATGGCTTAGCTGTGAAATCAAGCAGTACTCTGACTTTAGACCTTGTAACACCTGCAGTCTCCCTGGGTTCAGTTCAGATACCCAAGTTCCACTCAAGATTTTATTTCTAGTGTTTACTACAAGTTGGCTCTGAATTGTTTCCCACCGCTTAAGCACCCTCTGAGAGATCTGTGTAGGATCCTGCTTGTTGCCTTTCTCCAGGTACACAAGAGCTTAGTTGGAATTTAGACCTTGAAGAAGTCAATATTGGCTGTGCTGGGTATAATCAGTAAATGTTTGTTAACATGTCTAAAGCCCAGTCCTCCCTTTCTCTGCAAAAAATACAACTGGTTTAAAAATGGCACCCCTAGTAATGAAGGCGATGATATCATATGTGGTGTTTTCTTTTTAATCCTTTCATAAACCCAAATATCCAAAACAAGGGCTGTCTTGAGAAGTCAGCTACAAGGCTGGGTTATGACCAAGAAACTTAAGACTTTGGCAAACAAGCTGATGTTACTCTCGCCACAGGGATACGCACGACAGGGTTGTACAAAGGCACCTTGTGACGCTCCATCACACCCTCTGTCCAGGCTGGTTTTGTGAATTGCTCACAAATTTATATTGACAGCATTGCTCAGTCCTCTGGCAGGCTGTCAATGGGGAGCAGTTGCAGGCAGCAGGGCAGAGATCAGGGGGCTGGTGTGTGTAAATATGTATGTGTTTCCTAGCAGAGGGCTTGTAGCCAGTGCAGTAGAACCTTGTGCTCTGGGATTTGGTTGTGGCCTCTTGTCTGTGAGATGAAACTCTGGGAGCTTGTGGCATGGAGAGAAAACTTCAGGCTTGATATGTTTTGTGTGAATGGAGTAGGGCTTTGTTTCACAGCATTATAGGCATTACTGATGGCTTCTGTGAGGGATTATTATAACGGTTTATTAAATTTATTTAATTAAATATGTTGGTGCTGGATCAGTCCTCAGCTGCAACAGGGAAATGTAAGTCTATTCTAAGATCCAAGGACAAATAGTGCATTAAAATAGAAAATTTAATGTCTGTCTACATTTCTGAAAACCTATTAAAAATGCTTTTATAACTATCAGTGTGATCCATCTTCTGAATTTCAGTTTAAATCTGTTTTAGGCTTTAAAGTATTCCTTTCAGACACATGATCGCTTGTGTTTTGTTATGGAGTATGCGAATGGAGGCGAGGTAAGGAAACTGTAGTAATGTTTAATACTTTAGGATTTTCCCATGCTTACTACTACTTCTGCTTGACATTATTTAGCTAAGGTCCATGTTTGCAAATCTAATTAATCCAAGCTGTCCCAGTTAAACAGAGCTATTTGCAGGTTTAACTAATATTAAGAATTAAAACTTTTAATTTTCTTAACTCCATTTTTAGAGAGAGGTTTTGGGTGTAGGTTCATATTTGACATGACAGCAACATATTGTAATCTGACAACTTTTAACACTTTTTAATGTATATTGTGAGCATGTGTGACTTCGGAGGGAGAACTAGAAAGGGCAAACTACTGTTAGACAAGAAGGAAAAGTTGAAATATTAACATGTCTTTAAATCTTGCATTAAGCTATAGTTTTAGTATGTAATTGTTCAGTCAAAATGAGGTTTTGTAATTTTCTGTACATACAAGAATGTGCAGCACACAAACTGGTTATCAGTGTGCATCTGTGAATATGAGATATAACTGTCTAATTGTTTAATTTATGATGCGTTTTAACACATTTGGGAACACAGCTGGGTGAGGATGGGAGGGGGTTTTCTCTTCAGTAATACTGCATTCCAAGCAGGATGGCCTGCAAAGTGAGAGACATAACTCAGAAACATCTGCAATCTAAAGGTAGCACATTATTGTTTCTGTAGTTGTTTTTCCACCTGTCAAGAGAGCGTGTCTTTTCGGAAGACCGGGCTCGGTTTTATGGCGCTGAGATTGTTTCAGCACTGGATTACCTGCATTCAGAGAAGAATGTGGTTTATAGAGATTTGAAGGTATGTAGAAAAATAATTTCATGGGCTTTTTGAGTTAGGGCTTTTAGTTTGTAGTCCCAAAACCAAATGAGCCTGAAATATAACAAAACCTTTCCTGACTGAACTTAACACTTATTGCAGCTGTTGGACTTGACTTTACAGGATCTCTCAACACTCCTATAGTCTTAAAAGGTTGTATAAAGCATTTATCAGGACCCTGGCAGCATTTCGGAGAATAAGAAAGGGTTCTGAGCAATGTCGATAGCTTTTTCACGTGTCTGCTTGTGTTCTAAAAGAAATCTTCCTGGCTCTTCTGCACGGTGAAACATAATCCTGGGCTCTTCATCCCTGGTTTTAACAGATAGATGGAAATTCATAGTTTGTGGATATTACACTTCCTTGCAATGTGGTGTTCAGCACTATCTTCGTAGTACTTGCTTACAGTTAGAAAGCAGGATAAGATTCAGGTTGCTCATTTGTTTGATGAGCACAGAAAGAAAGAAGAAAAAAACAAACAAAAAAAAACCACCAACCAAACAAGAAATATCAAGGGAAAAAAACTTGGGACATTCTTGAAGAAAACACAACAGTAGCATTTTTTTTTTTTTTTTTTTGCCTGGGAAGTGTTTTTGGGAAGGATATTGGGATACTGGTAGTTCATTTCAGAGCAGTCTCAAATGAAGCATGCTGTGTAACGTTTTCAGGCTATGTCAATGTCATATTGGGATTCCTGCTGGGATTTTGTCTCCCCTATCACCATGATTCCTTTGAAAGTGTGCTCTATTTCATACACAGTGGAAGCTCTGCCCTGTAATCTGGATGGCTTTCTCAAAAATTAATGATGTGGGCTAGGATGAATACCATGTGCCTGAGTAAACATATAAAGTGAATCTCATGTACAGGGTCTCTTTGGAAGTGATCCCTTAGCCTTGTGTTTGATTTTTGTTTCATTTGCTGGTGCAGAGTATTTCATAAAGTCACTTAGAGTAGAAGCAGGGACTAAGTTGTGTGAGGGGGAATACTTAATATATTTTTAAAAGAACTGATGTTCTGTTAGTGTCAATGTTGTAGAAGCATAAATACACTATCTACGTTCTGTGTTTTTTCTGTATGTATGATTGGTTACCCAAAGACTGCAGATTAGTTACCCAACGTTCCCCAAAGAATTAAGGAAAGTGATATAAATGTATATTTATATCATACATGCTTTGGCAGTGAGAACGAGGTTGCAAACTGATCTGCAGAGATTGATGTCTTCCATTGGCTTGCTGAGGAGCAGTGTAGGTTATACACAATAATCTCTTTCGCTTGGATTTTCTTCTCAGTTGGAAAATCTTATGCTGGATAAAGATGGACACATAAAAATAACAGACTTTGGACTATGTAAAGAAGGCATCAAGGATGGAGCAACAATGAAGACTTTCTGTGGCACTCCAGAGTATCTTGCACCAGAGGTATGTTTATGTTTGCTATTGTACTAAATAGTTTTCTTAAATGCCATCCACGATAGCAGTAGTGACATGGAATAGTTCCTATGCCATAGGGTATTTATTTATACAGTAACTACTGTTATGTAACAACACATACTGAGAATCTTTTATTCATCGTGTTCTGGGACGTACCTTCAGCATACAGATACTTTTCAGGCAGTGTAGTATCTTCCTTCCACCTTAGGGAATATGTACATTTTACTGGAACGGTGCTTGCTTCCTGTGTCAGAAATCTAATTATAAAATAAACTTTTAATATCAGTTCAAATACTACATGATGGATTGATGACTCTTTCGCAGTTTGTTTGTTGTGTATTTACCTATCTGAAAGCTATCAACAGGACTTTGCTTAAGAAGTAAAAGTATTGTGCAGTTCCTTTACTCTTTGGAGGCAGTAGAAGGTGACACATTTTCAGAAACAGGCAGGCAGACAAGGCTTTTTTTGCAGTAGAGTGGTATGCATTGAAAGTGCTGACTGTTTTGTGACTGTAAGAGCACGAGGTGTTTCTCAATGTTAATTTGAACTTTTCTGTTTCAGAAGAAATAAATCCAAGCAGGGGATCTCAGTCCCCAGACTGCACATTTTTGGTAGAAGTTTGTACTAATGTTGTTGGCTTGTTTAAAAGCATAAAAAGGAAAGGTGTCCTCGCAGCTTTCATCCTGGAAATACTCCTGAGAGCTGTGCAATGCAGGTGGTGTTAAATCTTCAATGTTGCATTAAGTCTCACTGCAACGGGTAGCAAGGCC